AATTTCTATCTTATAGATCCATTCTAATTTTAAACAGAATACTATGATGAACCTGTAATTGAATTCAAATTTATAAAAATGATAAAAGAATGGAAAGTATAATTAAAATAATTTAAGGGAGAGATAGATGCATTTACATAATTATTCATTTATTTCAACATATACACCACTAATTTAAAGGCTTTAATTCTCATTTAACTGAATGAATTTCGCGAAAAAATTCTCAAAATTCAGAAAATTATAGCTTCAATTTCCATATATTTTAATTTTAAATTTTCAAAATTTGAATTTTCCTTTTTTTTGTAAATTAATTAAATTGACAATTTTTGGTACATAGTTACTGTGATTATTTTAGAAATTACAAATTTAAAATGAACTTTGTTACTTGTAGTTATAGTCATGAAATACTCATTAGCTTCATGTTTTAATGGCAGCATTTTGTTGAAATTTAAATTTTTACTATGAAATGTCAGGAATTTTAGAAGATTCAATTTTCAAATATTAAAAAAATTGAAGAAAAGAATTCCTCCGAAATGAATTAAATTAAATGAATTAAAATTTTTCGCTAACAGTAAATTAATTAAGTTTTATCCAGAGAAAATTAATTGTGGAAAAGTTTTCAAGATGGTTGATATTATCAGCGTATCAATCAATGATTGTACAAATATTATCATTGATTTTATTAAATAATATTAACAGTTAAAAAAACAAAAAATGATTTAATTTTTGTATTCTTTTGAATAAATATCGATGTAATGATAAAATTATTTCAACAAAAATCGGTGATTAATTTGAATCAATAATGAAGAAAAAGCTTACATTTTTTGGTTTTCCGCTTGTTATCTGAAAATAAATGAAGTTTACATTGATCATATTATGCAAATTTTGTGCTATTTTACAAAAAATTATCCTAAAATTTAAAAAAAAAAAAACAAGCCAAAAAGAACGCATTGGTTATGAATGATTCATAGATTGCTTTAATTAAACATTCAATTATGAAAGTAAACTAGTTATCACTAGATGATATGTTATCATATTAACATGTAATGTAACTGATAAAGAGAACATAAAATAAAACAGTTGGAGCTGAGAAAGTTTGCACAGAGGTAATATCTGAAATGCTGAAATAAAAAATAATTAATTAATTATGAAAAGGAAAAAATATATCATATGGTTCGTAATTTTGAACTAATTCATAAAATTTAAGTGCTCATTTGCATGATGAAAAAAAAAAGAGTAAAATATTCTTACCAATCGTTTTATCGTTGTCCGTTCTTTAGCTTGAGGTTATTATAACAGATAGTGATATCATAAGAAGTGATAGGAATGATATCATATCAATCCTTATCACTGATACAAGAATGGAAGAAACGAGTCATTCATTTAGACAGTAGTAATTTACAGAGAAAAATGGAGCAAAAAAAATTAACAAAATTTATTAGCATATATATTTCGAAAAATATTGCAATAAAATAGTTGGAAATATGGATCAATCAACATTGAAATATATTTTGATGAAAAGAAAGAAAGAAAAAAAGGAAAAAGAACAGCTAAAAATGCTAATAATACTAGTGATGATTTAGAAAAGTGATATAATGAAGTAATCTTATCGATCGATTGATTGATTGATTGATTGATTGATTGATCTATTTAATTGAGCGTTTCTAATCATTTTCTCGTAAATTCATTAAACATTCCACCTGATATTGTAACTAACAAAATAGCAAATAAGCAATTAGTTTAATTAATCAAATTTATTGCTAAATTAGAATATTTCACAAAAATGTAAAATTGAGCAAAAATTATTAAAACTTGATCAAATTTGCATATTTCCTACAAAAGATAATGAGAATGTACAAAGAAATTGACAAAAAAAAAGGAAAAAAATGGGAAAGAATTAAAAATTAGAATAATTCCAATGAATATAGGCCAATAGGAAAAAAAAGCGCCAAGCGCTTTTTGCTTCGTTTTTTTTTTCGCAATATTTTTCAAAAAAAAAATACTATTCATTCATTTCATATAAATATTTTTATATTCGAATGAGATTTATTCCATCAATTTCAATCATTCATTGTGAGAAATCTCATCTTTCAATAAGTAATAATAGAGAGAAAGATATTACTCCATATTGGATCGATTATAAGATCAAATGATCGGATCTATCATTAAGGTGAATTTAAAATTTAAAAAAAAAAAAAGGAAAAAGAAGAAAGAAAATGAGAGAAACATACAATTTCAATACTTTGAATAAAAATTTAAAGATAAGTAAGAAATACAGAATATTATTCCAGAAGGTAACTGAAGCATTAGAGAGGGAGAGAGAGAGAGAGAGGAGGAGAGAGATGG